CCCTACGTTTAGCACAAGTAAGTAAAACAATGCCATAAATCTGGGGAGTCAGAGGAAACCATGGGAAAATCATGGGAAAAGCCACAATTTACATGGAGGAATTATCCCATTTTCAGGCACCAATGGTGTATTTTCCCATGATTTTCCCATTTTACGTCACAGGAAAATCATGGGACAATCATGGGAAAATACACCATTTATGGGAAAATACATCATTTTAGGTATTTAAACCAAAAAAATGGACAGGCAATTTAAAATGGGTATTTTCCAAAACTTTAAATTTCCATAAATTTACCCAATACCAGTAAGTTTTTTCAGGTTCCAAAAATCTTTAGGCACCGCACTTCTCAGCCCGTGGGATGTCGCCCGCTTTCACGCAGGCGTTGATCAAGGTCTTGGCCCAAGCCATGGCGAAAATATATAAAAATATATGAAAAACACAATTGCCAAAGATTTCCATGACAATATAGGGAAAATATGGACCATCTATAGATTAAGTACCAACATTAACTGGTTGGTGGTATACCTGCCCCTCTGAAAAATATGAAAGTCAGTTCCATGAATACTGGATCACTGGGTTGTTGGATTATGAAAATATTATGGATTATTAATGGCATTATACTGGTTGGTGGTTTCAACCTACCCCTCTGAAAATATAACTTTGTCAGTTGGGAGGGTGACATTTCCAACTGAAGGGAAAAACTAAATTCATGTTGCAAACCACCAACCAGATGAATATTGGACCACTTATACATTTCCATACATTTCCGACAAAATTGGAAAGATGTTTGGAAAGATGTTAGGAATATTGTCATGATATTCATAACACTATTCTAACCGCCATTGTTAATGGTATGGAATGGACTACCATTGTTAATGAAGATAATGGAATAACCATTGTTAATATCGGAAAGATGTTAGGAATGGTATGGTCCTTTTTTTTCGACTAATGCGTGCAGAGAATGATTCAGTGGAAAGTTAAGCGATAGAAAAAAATGGGTGAACCATGGTATTTCCGAAAGATCCTTTTGGACCGCTGGGAGAAATCCGAACTGGGCATGCGGGCTGTGTAGGTGACCACATTCGCCTTGTGGGAATCCAGGGCCCAGGGTTTTGGGTCCCGCAACTTCAACCCCCATCCTCTTGTGGTGTACGTGTGGTTTATTCCTAGTGACGATTTTTCTTCTGGATCAAAGGTTCAAATTTGTCAACTCATCTTCCAACAGGCTTGGCATAGCAACACTTTGTGGATATCGGCGGTATCGTCGCACGCAACAGGTTTGAACAAGAGCCATGACTGCTACAACTCCAAGCACATTACATGTAGATCACACTGCAAAACCATCTGAACCAGGCACCAGCCCTGATATCCACTCCCAGCAAAATTATCAAAAGACAGTCATGTGGGCCAACATTACACACCCAACCAGCCCATGTCCCACCATTGCCAACCTTAGATATCCTGCAAAAAAACCATAGCATCCCCATCAAAATGGCAAACTGGTTGCAATAAGTTGTACAAAACTACCCAACTCACCAGTGGGTTTACCTCCAATCTTTCATGGTTCAACCACAACTTTAGAATGGAGGCAAGCCCATGAGGTTGAACCATTAAGGGATGATTAAACCTCCAATCTCTTCTAAACCATTTGGTTCATGGCTAAATCCACAGTTGGCTCACCTCCAATTTCTTCTCCTTCATTTGCTGCATCACTTTTTCTGCAGCCTGGTGCAAAAAACAAGACCAGCCGAAAAAATCACCATGTCCAGCAGAAAAATGAGCTATAACATGAGCTATACACAGTGCGACTGAAAATGGAACATCATCATGATAGTTATGATATATAGTTGATATATGTTCCAATGATGATGATGTTGATATATGTTGATATTAATAATAGTTGACAATGTGATAACTATATAATCAGAGTTGAATCAACCGATAGGAAAATGATATTGATATTATATATAATGTGATACATACATATATATATATTGGTACATAATAAAATATTATCATATTGATAACCTATATTTATTGTATATTATATATATAATCAGAGTTTCATCAACCAATGGTTCATTCTATATAATGGAACCAATACAGAACCAAATGTCAAGGTTGATAGGGAACACATGATGATCAACCATTTGATTTTGGGGTAAAACCAAATGACTAGAGGATTGTCCGTCAATTTAGATGACCAGTTTGGGACTTTGACTTACAGAGGAGGCATCCCCTCCTGGAACATCATGGAAATCAACATGCAGTTGATCAAATTTCTGAACCCTGTGAACTTACATTTCCCTGGCTATACGATACACTGCAAGAAAGTTAAATTCCAAACTGGGTAGAACACATATCCGAAGTTATGGCGAACAAACACACATCATTGAAGTGTTCTTCAGCAAGGTTTGCTCTCCTTCTAAACTTTCTGTGGAGGGTCACCTTCCTTGTGTGAGGACTTCCACTTAATAACACATGTACTCTCTATATATATATATGGATATTTCCTGAAATGATACCCCCAAATCATCCATTTCAGATTGGGATTTTCCATGAAATAAACCATCTAGCTATTGGGGTACCTCATGGCCATGGACACCCCCATAGATATATGCACAACAAGAGTCACAGGGGCCTCATATCACCATGGTAGCCATATGGAAGTTTCCACAGAGGGATCTGTAAGCTCGCTGGTTTTCATGGAAAATCCCATCTATAAATGGAGGGGTTTCCATAAATGGAGGTACCCTAAAATGGATATAATCATGATATCATGGAAAATCCCATTTATGGATGAAAGTCCCATTTGGGCTACCTTCATGACGAAACGGACACCTCCAACCCAATTTGCAAGCTGCGCCTCGATGTTGCCTTGCTTGGCATAGGCGTGCAGGATGGAGCTATAGCTCACCACCGACGGTTCTACTTGTGCCTGGAAAACCATGGCGCATCCGAGATCGAAAAGCAAAAAATGCTGGTCTGAACCAAGAAGATGGTGATTTAACTGGGGAGATACAAGCACACATATGTATGTATGTATATATATATAAAATAAATGTATATAAGTCGATAATATCATGCCTAACCTTGGATACTGTATATCCCAACCTCTCACTTTGGACCAACTCTCTCTAATTTGTTCTTAAATCCATAAGAATTTCCAACCATTCCACCAACATTGCAGAACAGCGCAACTGAAACTAATCTTCTTGGTTCAACTCGATACTACCCACGAATACGATGCAGAGACGCACCCCAATTTTGTGCGTTCCAATGGATTATACACATTTTCCTATTAACATTGCTATTTGTGGGTATCATTTTCAAGCAAACCCATACATTCCCATTAAATCACCAGTTATAGTTATATATATATATATGTATATATATATAATGTCCACCTCTGATTTATAAACGTGGGCCCCCCCTCTTTGCCCCTAAATAAACTTAAAACCACCATCAAACTTGTTTGTATGTAATGATTTTCAATTACCACAATTTAAAACGATAATATAAAATGCAATTTCCAAAAAAAGGATTCCAACAATTGTTTTAGTATTGATTTAGTATTCATTTCATGGATTTAGTACTGATGATTTAGTATTGATTTAGTATTCATTTCATGGATTTAGTATTGATTTAGTATTGACTTAGTATTCATTTCTTGATCAGCGGGAGGGGGAAACTCAGTAGCTTTATTCGGGGTCAAACTCTAATTGGTGCTAAGGCACCTCATGGGGGGTACCCTTGATGAGTTGATTTGGAGTTGATTTTGGGTAATTTTGAATAAAGGTTTTGAATAGAAAGAGCATCCATCATTTTTGAAATTTTCCGGCTATCACTTTGAATAAAGGTTTTGGTCAGCCCCATCTGGGCAAATCTGGGTTTAGGACCCCCCCCAAAAAAACTGTATTTAGGGATCATTTATTATGTAGTTTGGGAGTTTGGTTAGCTTTATTCAGGGTGCATTTTTAAATCGTAGGTCAACATTAAGGTTATATAGTTCCCATGGAAATTACCATTCAAATCCCATGGAAATCGCAGTTTTTTGATCGATTCCCGCAGCGCACGAAACGCCAGAAACGCCACGCCTCCAACATCTGCCGCAGCCATTCTTCGGCCCGCTGCACATCTTCGGCACGGACCCAGGCGTCGATGAGAGCATTGAAGGCCACCACATCGGGACCTGGGTTTCGCGGCCGCTTTCGCCGTTTGGAACAAAAAAATCGGGGACTTTTCAATAAGAACATGGGGCTTGCGAAACCCAACAGATATCGAAAAATGTGGATTTCACCAACAAAAAGTGGGATTGAACTAAGTCATATGGTGGTTTAAGGCAGCAAAATGGTGTTTTTTTTCAAATTTTGTCGGGATACAAAAACCGCATGTTTTTGCGTTGATCATGTCAGAATGGATCGGCGCAGGAACGGAGGTGAGATCCGGTCAAGTTGGGTAAGTATCTGGTAATGTACCATGGTACGGTACATCATTAAAGATGAAAGGCCATCATTTAGTTCGATGATTTTACCATTAGACAGATATATATATATACATAGTACATATATATATAACTATAACATTATCTAGTTGGTGGTATACCTACCCCTCTGAAAAATATGAAAGTCAGTTGGGATGAAGACATTCCCAATATATGGAAAATAATCCAAATGTTCCAAACCATCAAACAGAGATGGTGAAAACATGCCTTTTCCAAACAACATTAATATGTTTCCTTGGTGGGAAGGTCGCCCAGCAGTCCTTTCGTATGATATGGAGGGGACCTTTTCTGATCAAGAATGCCACTAAGATAAGTCATCCATCTTAAAATGGGGGCTCCCCAAGTCGCCATGGATTTCAATACTAAAACGGTTCAAATGGGATGATTTGGGGGTACCCCTATGACTTAGGACACCTCTGTTTTTTTTCTCATTTTTTCCAAAAAAAAACCCAACAGCCTTCCCTCTCTGTTGGACTTCTCTGCCCGCCAACATTGGTGCATTAACCTATCTCATCCCCAATCATCTCTAACCAACCCTGAAACCATCTGTCTTCTCCGAATGGTGATCGGTCAAACCAGGGGAGCTCCAAAAATCCACAGAGACCCCAGTTCTTTTTCTCACCATGCCGTTGCACCGTTGCAGCCTAAGCCGAACCGTGCCCCAACTTCCAGGCTCCAGACGAGTGTGTCCACGCTGCACGATCATCTGAAACCTCGAGCGGGATGCAAGCCGCTGGCAACATGGATCAAAATGGCAATGGTTTCCCATAAATCTGGGGCCAAAATGGATCAAATTTCTCGGCTGTCATTTTTAGAACTGGACCATCCAAGTTTGGAGGCTCAATAATTTTGAAGCAAATCTCCAGGCAATCAAGGTGGCTTCGTTGTGTGAAGGATCATTCGGGTGCAGTCAGCACCAGCTGGGGCAATTCTCTCAGATGTGCATCCCACTTAGCCACTAGGGTAACAGCCACGATATATGAGGGTGCAAAACGGAGGCAACACCGGCGATTAGGGACTTGCGAATCAGGAATATCAATGAGTTACGAAACGAGGACGAAATGATTAGACAGGTGAACACACCACCACATATGTCATTTCATGTCATTCCAAATATGTCGACGGCGTTGGTACATCATTTGCCCTGATCTGTGCTGATCTGGGTGAAACAAATGGGCGTTGTAATCCCATTCCCGTTCATATTAAACACCCCAATTCTATGGTCTCAAGTATGTGGTTTCATCCCCCACAAAACCCTGGTTTCTGAGGGTTGGGTAAGATGAACGGGAGATGGGATTAGTTGGATGTTTCGAAATATGGCGACCCCACCTTAGTTTCGAAGTTTCAAAGTCTAATCATCCCCCATACCCATTGCATGGTCCCAAATATGTGATTCATCCTCCTACAAATAGTTTCAACTTTTTCCCGTTTTCCAAGTTTCTTACGAAACCTGTGAAAAATACGACCGGTGCCCAAAGGAAGTTTCCAAGTTTTGGAAACTCTGTGTGGTTAATAGAAACGGTTAAAACTTAGAAACCACCCCAAAAACTGGATGGTTGTTGGAAACTTAGCAATTTGACCAGCGGAAATGAAGTAGGATGACCCCACAAGGAAAGTTTGGTGGTTAGGAGCCTTTGAAACTACATACATGAAACCACCCTCCGGTGTCATCAAACATAGCTGGTGGGAAGGTCTCTGAACTAGATGGTTATATAATGTTATGATTATAGTTAGTTATATATATATATGTATATATATATATGTATCTGGTTAATTGTAAAATCATCGAACAAAATGATGGCTTTTCCATTGCCATGCAGGTTTGATTGCCGGATTGTAAATAAACTATTGTTCAACTCACTTTCTTTTTCGAAGTTTTCGTTCACCACTTCCAACATCTTCCGTTCACATCTTCCAACAGTTTCATCAGTTCACATCCCCAGCAGACCACCCCAGCAGCGTCCGCTGTCCGTCTGGGCTGTCCCGGCATCTCCTCGGCCTTCCGCGGGCGGTTGCCCCGGGCGCAGCTGTGTACGGCCGCGCCCAAGGTCACCAGGTCCGGCTCCACGCCCTGCCTCCAAAAGCCCAAAGAAGTCACAGGAAACCCACGGAAAATGCTGCCTAGTAACTTAGATTAACCTAGTAAAAACAAGGAAAATCCACCATTTTCCTAGTGAAACAGCAAACCCACATGGAAAATGCTGGATTTTCCCAGCTTGAAGCAGCGAAAATGCTGGATTTTCCGAGTAAAAATAAGAATTTGAGATAGTTTCACCAGTGAAGATGGGTGGTTGAACATGGTTTGAGCAGTAAACACACCTGAGTTCAACTTATCAACATGGAGGGTGCACCAATGAAAAAGTATGAGTGTGGGTTTAACTAAAACAAAGATGTCAATTTCCTGGAGAAACTTGAGGATTTCACAGGTGGTTAACTGGCAAAAATGGGAGTTGATGCTTTTGCATTTTGCCAGCAAGCACATCGATTTCAATATACATGAGGAGGTTAACTGAGGCTGCGATCAGCCACAGATGTCAATTTCACATTATATCATATCCATTTATATCCTGTCGTCCCTGTTCTCGAGCTACAGGGTGGATAAAGTACTTACGTCGGGATGAAACTGGTTGATCCCCTCAAATACCATGCTTTTCCTTGGTAGAACATGGGCGATTCGGTCTTCCTGGCGCCCCAGTTTCCACAAGAACCGTTCAGACTAGTGGGGACTTCTCAGACTACGATAGTCACCACCCTCTCTGGTACTAGTCATTTTGTGCTCATTAGGGAGATACATCTGATTGAAATAGGTTCCATCAGCCAGAAATAAAGGCTATATGGACGATTCCCTCTTAGGAACCATAATTGTTTTGTGAAGTGGTGACATAGATAGCTACAGTTCATCCATATGATATATCCTGTTCTCCAAGTTCATCCCCATTGTTGGAGGGTCCTCCCACTCAGTGATTGGTAACTCTTGTTAGTCCCCTAAGCTTGGTTCTCCCATGTAGAAACAGGTTTTATAACATGTTATAGCTATGGCCATCAATCAGTAATCAGTTTCCAAGTAGGGTAATCCTCTAATCACATGGGCATTCTCAGCATGCAAGTTTCAAGACTACCCGCACAGCAAGGCAGGCGAGCAACTCACACATGAAGCGAACCAGGCGCCTTGGGTGTTGCCAGTGGGTGGATCTGATAGACTCCCAAATGGTGCCAAGGCTGAAATACGTGGGTTGCTGCTGTTGAGGGGACAATTGTAGAGTTGAAACCAGGCTTTTACCATGTTTTACCATGTTTTTCCCAGGTTTCACCATCCAAATTTCAGGGATTGCAATTTTTCCAGCAACTCCTAGTATCCCATTCCACTCCAACAGGCCCATGCAGATCCAAATAGATTGAAGCAACGTGGACGTGGACAAAGCTGTTGAAAATACCCTCTGGCAAACGAACAATAGACTATAAATGGCAATTTTCAATAGCTATGTTAAATTACCAGAGGGTAAGGTCTCCCTATCTGGCAAAACATTCCCGGAGTTATTCCCTCTGTTAGACGGATTCATCAGAGCCGCTGGTTTTGTCACCTAACTTCCAATCATATTTGGTCCACATGGACTGGTGAACGTAGATATTCCCAAAAGACTAGTTAGGATTAGTCTGTATCCATGTAAGATTGACCTAGTGATGGTCACAGGGTCACTCAAACCTTTGCCAGCACCGCAAACGCGGCAGCACTGAGTTCGAACTCAGGTCCAGGTCTTCAAGGCGCTTGCTGAATCGGTCTGTCTTTCTTCGATCGCAGCTCGTCGCTGCCGTACGGGTCCGTGATGTTGAATACAGCAAGGGCCAAAACGCAACCAGCCTGGTCAGAAGATTTTCCTCTTCGTGGCCCGCCTCTTCGTAGCCCTAAACAGGCTCCACCTCGACGAGAAATCCACAGAAATCCAAGGCAGACATCGTGTATCTGGCTGATTTGGAATTCATAAACCATGCAACCATATCTGGTTGGTGGTGCAATAACCATCTTGAAACATATGAAAGTCAATGGGAAGGATTATCCCACATATTATGGAAAATAACAGCCATGTTCCAAACCACCAACCAGATATTTAAGGCTAGTTTGGGATAGCCCACACAAACCATCCACTTTGGTTAGCTGAGGTGAAAAAAAATGACCCGGATCCCCTATGAATAGCTCTAAATAGGGGTGTCTAAAAATCGACAGACCCCGTAAATCACCATTGCTTTCCTCACCATGAACCAATTTTGTGGATGACAACTTGGGGTCCAAGTTGAAAGCCCCAAATGGGTGATTTTCCAGCCAGATTTCATGAAGGTCAACCCCGCATTAATAAGCTCTGTTGATTATATAATAGTGATTAAATTACAGCAAATTAGCGAGCAGCTATTGAAATTTGTGAATCCTGGGCCGACCATTTCTACCACTTTATCCCCATGTCTACATGTGTGTATATATATATATCTTGGTATAAAAATTAAAACGACCTCACTGTTCTCCCTCACTGGAATCATGGTTAACAAGGGAAATCATCCCCAAATGGCCCAACTATTCAGGTTACTGAAATATTATAATTTACCCATATATATATATATATCATATATACATACAAATTAAATATATAACCAGCTAAATAATGTGTTTTGTGCAGAGTATCTAAGATTGGCCATGGATTGGTTGAAAGGAAAATCTTAGCTGAAAACCATCGATTTACCAGCCAAATACGGGGTTTATATATATATATATATACACACACGTGTATAAACCCATAGTTTCTTTGTTGTATCCCCACCATAGCTGGTTTAATCCTTATCACTCTCCAGTAAATTTTCAGTAACTAAAGCCCCGCCATCCCAGCACGTGCAGGAAAATTCAACTACCCTCTGGTAAACTAACATAGCTATGGAAAATCATCAACTTTAATAAGTAAATCAACAATAGATGTGCTCCGTTTTCTACAGCTATGTTAAATTACCAGAGGGTACTTCCATTCATATTGCATTAACATTGCTTCATATCCCGATAATATCCTATTGATGTCCCAATAATATTGACAAAATTCTAAATTACCCCATGATGATAGGCTACAGTAGGGTTCAGGCATTATAATCTTACACTATTTATAGTAGTGATCCTTTATAGTATATACAATGTACAGTAATTGTCATTATTGGCTTCACTATATCACAGTGTTATTATATGGTATTATCCTATTAATCCCATTACATCCTTCTATTATACACCATTATAGTAGTGATAATTGATATAGATCCAGAGACAGTGAAGATGATGGCAAGATCATTACTATAGTAACAGTATCCCACATGGAAATGATGGTAACATATATTTATAGTAATCATTGGGGGATACTTCCCATCATTTCCCTCTAAAATACTCTCTGGTAAACTAACATAATGACATAGCTAATGGAAAATCACTATTTTCATAGGCAAATCAACCTATGTTAATTTTCTATTAATCATATTTCCAAATGTAAATCAATTACTATAATTGGGCCATTTTCTATAGCTATGTTAAGGGTAATACAGAGACGGAACGCCAAGACACTCTGCCGCCTGGAAAGTCCCTTGCCGAGCGTGGCAGGTGATCACCTGAACGTCTAGTCTTAACTGCGAAAGGTGCCGCTACGATGTGATGGGTTAACCCAGCAAAAAAAGGGATATCTTGTGATTTGTTGATATATAATGACATATATATATATACTGATATATATATATATATATATACACACACACTGAAATATGTGTATATATATAATGATATATGTATATATATAGTGATATATATATAAATCATTATATATATATATGCGCACACCATGATATACATTTATACACACACACATATATCATGATATATATATATTTATCTTGTATAAATAGTGTATATACATATCATGGAATATCTATGATACTTTATGATCATGTTTTATTGTGAATTATGATGTCCCATGAGTCTTATCATGATTATGATCTATTCACGGCAAACCTGTTTGGATTTCAATTGATTTCATTCACAAAAAACGACATGAAAAACTGTCGGATTTAAGGCAAGATCTACTGGAAACCAAACAAGGACGGGAACTTGACATGATTTGCCCTCCGATAAAATGTGGATCATTTTCTGTCCTGGTGGAATCCAATCAGCTGACACTACAAGTCTTGTTGACAAACTAAATACGTTCCATGATGTTCCATGAACGAGTTCCCCAAAATGAACCTCTTGTAGTCCCTATCAACATCTATCAACCATTGCAAGTCCAAACCATTAGCTTTTGTATGGTCATGGGTCAAAATTGGGTCCCGCATGTTGAGATACTGCATATTTCCAAACCATGGCTGGCATTGTTGTTCCTTTCTGTTTGCGATGCAGTAGTTAATCGTATTCATCTTCTCGTGACAATTTGTCCAGTTGATCCCGACTCATATTTCGCGTCACAAAGACACCTCAGAAAAAAGCATTTCGTGCTGAGTCTGTTCATTTTGCGGTCCCCGGGTCCGCCAGGTCCCGCATATTCTTACAGCACCAGGGATGAGATGACCGTGATCGTGAACCAAACTGGGATCGAAACATAAAACACCCCAGTAATCAAACATGGTAATTGAAAGGAACTAAATGAAGGTTTGTAGGTGTACAATTACCTACTGATCGCTTTTGGCACCAAAACCTGGAAATATGTTGAGGTAACAACTGTTAACAACAATTTGGAAATACTTGTCCATAGAACATTAGATACTCTGCAAAATGTTGATTTTGGCTTGTTAGATTCATACATGTCCATGTATATAAACATATTGAGTATCAAGTACATTTCATATTAGCTTATTTCCATTTAGTAATTTTCGGTGAGTAATGACTAGCATATTTCCATGTACAGTATGCTTCGATTAGTAATGATTAGTATCTTTCCACTCTTGGATGAGTCTATTTCCAGGCTTCTTAGGTTACAGTATCAAAGTATCCATGGTTCCCCCCGTTTCTGGCGGCAGTTGCACCCCGCCCAGGCCAGGTGACGGCATTGAAGCTGGAGGGATCTTTGGTGAAACCTCGCTCCACTTGGAACGTGATCCAACGTTCAGCGATCTCTGCCTGACAGGCTCTAATGTCAAAATGGGATGATGCAAGACACTCCAAGGAGGTTTTTGTGCTACCCAACCAGAAAGAAACATGAGGAGATGCGCGAAGATGAGATATGAGAATGGATCAAAACCTACCCAAACAAATACCTGGTTGGTAGTTTCAACCATTTTGAAAAATATGAGTTCGTCAATGGGGTTGGGATGACATCCCATATATGAAATGGAACATAATCCATTCATGTTCCAAACTACCAACCAGAATACGGTTTCGCATCTAAGCAGCCAGTTTCTGTGCCCATGGACCGACCAGCAGGACGTTTTGGAACCGGTGGTCTTGCCAAAGAGAAGCCCTCAACAGCCCACCCTTCGTTGATGATTGAACAAATTGAACACACCCAAACTCATAAGAATCTATTTCAATCCTGATCTCATACAATTACATTAGAAAGATGCCGGAGCATATAAAAATATTTCAGTAGCATATGTTCTGATTAATCCTGATTACATTGAATCGGTATATATCTTTAAAAACATACCATCCCACTCCTCCATCAAATGTCGTCCACCAATGTGAGCAGCAACGTGACTGTTTTAGTTGCGAAAACAAGTAGCTATAGATAGTTACACACAGTTGTATGTGTATATATATATATATTATATATAAATATACTATACTGATATATGGCTATGTATATATATATATGTATGTATTAGTTGTAAATAGTTGTAAATAGATGTAAATAGTATAATATAGTGATGCAACTGATGTAACTGATGTGTAATGTAACTGCCTTGAAACGTTCCCGAATCTTGCGGCAGAACTGCCCCAGGCCTTGCCCACACGTAGACTGAGGCCGATGACCGTGCTATACCAAAGCGAATCTAAGGAAGGACCTGGACCGGGCCCAGTCCCGGTGATGAAGAAAAATCCATGGAAAAACCCATGGCCAACTTGGGTTTGTTAAGTTTTCTGCCTTGAATCAATGCTTACCATCTTTTGAAAAACTATAAATCACAAAAGAAGAACGAATTCCAACATCTGTGGTCCAAAGATGTTCAAAGCCAATAGAGCTCAACATGATCTCTGCATGTCGTGCAAGAAGATAAGTACATATGCAACACCATTAGAATGATGATCTATAAATGGGGAGATGTGTTTGCCAGCCAGCTAATTAAACAAAAAAGACAACAAATTTGAGGAATGTCTTTTTAAATGTCAACCCCAGATTCACAAAGCCAGGAGTTTAATTCATCCTGGGGTCACATTGGCGGAATCCACAGGATACCCTTAGCGACCGTGTTGGCCCTGTCCTTCTACCCCTGCCCCTACTCTGGTCCTACTCCTACTCTACTTTTCTACTCTACCCCTACTCACCATATCAACTTTACACCTGGGCCTTGCAAACCTTGGCCTGCGCGCCGCAAAATCCCCTGCCCGACGAATCCAGTCATCAAAATGTCCTGGCGATCGTCCACAAGATGCGCCTGGAGATACCTTGCGACGTGCGCTTTCCTTCCGGACGCAGTTTCGAAGATCGAACTGTTCCAATTTCGAAATTGGTCGTTCAGGACAAGGCTGGCTACCCCAGCACGTGGCACAAGGTCATCCGAACGGCCCAAACGAAGCACAACATGACCGTTAGCTCACTTGGAGACTTGGCCGAGGCCTCTCTCCACACGGGTCAAGCCTTGCTGCACTTCGTTCCGCCACCGAGCTTTCTGACTTGGACCACCTTCTGGCGGAATCAACATCTTCAAGTGCCAATTTTTGACATCACTTTGTTGCGATTGTTCAAAGATAGGGGCTTATAGCCCCAGTTACGAATCAGTTCCTAGTCCTATATGTCCTATTCCATCTTTTATATTATTTTATCATATGTCCTAATGTGGGTGAATGAATGTAACCCACAATTCCACTATCATATCTCCATTTACATATCACATAATATCACTGGCTGAAGTATACCCTCTGGTAAACTAACATAGCTATTAGAAAATTGCCATTTATAGTTGATTTACCCATAAAAAATGTGATTTTCCATAGTTATGTTAAGTTATGTTAGTTTACCAGAGGGTAATAATTCACCAACTTGAAAATGGCTGAAACTTGCAGATGGTTCCCCAATCCCAACCATGACGGAAAACAGTGAGGCAATTCATCCCCACAACTCTGATTTTTGACAAATCATCTACAGATGGACCGTTTTCATCCATTCTCCACAGCTATGTTACATTACCAGAGGTATATAATGGTATATGTTCATATGTATATATCTATATGTATATATCTATATGTAAATATTTAGATGTACATGTGATATATATATATATATATATATAACATATTATATATGATATACAAATATATATGCACATACTGTAATGGTACATATATATAATTATATATGATATACATATATATACACATACTGTAATGGTATATATATATAAGATTATATATGATATACATATATATATATATATACACATACTGTAATGGTATATATATATAATATTATATATGATATACATATATATATATACACATACTGTAATGGTATATATATATATATGATCTATTTATGTATATCCTACTAGTAGTTACAACTTCTCGCTGCATATGATCCTCCAGTGATGCCTCCCTGGCTGCCGGACCATCACAGATCTCCGTGGCGAGGTGCAGCCATCGGTGAGCATCATCTACGTCCTGGCCGGGAATCTATTAAGTTACAACCATAGCCATAGCGGTATAACCAAAGGAAAACCATAGGAAAACCATAGGAACATGGAGGTTTACCCTCTAGTAAACGTTTAGAAAAAACTATGGAAAATCACCATGCTATTATTGGGTAAATCCACTATTTCGACTGGGCCATTTTCAATAGAAAACTGTTAGTTTAACAGAGGGTAACTTGGGGATAACCCATTGGTAGATATATCCTATCCCATGAAATGGGATATCATGAGATTTATCAACAAATATGGTGCCTTGGGCGTCAGGATTTATCAAGATTTATATTGTAATTAGTGGCACTTTTGATCTGGAAACCATTATTTTTTTTTCACCATGGGGTGACATCGGGTGCCCCATGTTCAGGCCAACCGATTTGACCAAGAAAAATGAAGAACACTGAGGATTTCGCTACCAAAAAATGTGGATTCCCCCACCTCAAATGGGGATTTACCAAAGGTTTCAATGGGATTATAATCCACTTAATTCATGGAATATACCCTCTGGTAATTTAACATAAGTATTGAAAATGGCCATAGAAATAGTGGATTTACCCATGAAAAAAATGTGATTTTCCATAGCTGTGTTGGTTTACCTGAGGGTGTCGTACTTTCAATCAGCTTCCCACCTTGGGCCCTACCTTTGCTCTGTTTGCTTCATTTGAGGTTTAAACCAATAGAAACACAGGTGGGAACAACCGAAATGGGGGCATGTTGGCTTTACAAACGCCCGAGACTTGAAACTTCCTCCATTTCTGGTCGATTCCTCCCAGCAAAAAACAGGTCAACATCAGAAACACACAACTCCGAGGCGAAGACACCTCAGAAAACAAATGGAAGTTTCCCAAGTCATGGGGGTACCCCCAGATCCTCCAACTTAGATCATGTCACTACAAGTTAGTATTGAAAAAAACATGGTGACCTCGGGACCCATGTTCAGAAACCCGTCCTCAAGGTGAACACAACTCTTGATGATCTGATTGAAGGCGCATACGTCCAAGTGCAATTCCTTCGCCTGGCGTAGACATTTGGCGGAGCACCCTCCTCCGGTCATCGAACGGTTTGCTAATGAAGCCATGGCCCATTTAGTTCGTTGATTTACCTATTTAAAGTGAGCATTTTCCATAGCTATGTTGGTTTACTAAAAGGTACACATGGAATAGTATCCACCGCAATATGATTATAAGATGTCACAATTTATAAGACCACGTACTATACTGGTATGAATCCAGATGCAGCATACGGAAAAATGAAATATTCCCACTTATAAATGGGTTATATATCAACACTTACTGGATGCATATCCAAGCACAATAGTCATCAAAACAAATGAACTCATGGAATTGGGAACATCTATTGGGTACCTCCCTGGCCATTTTCAAGGTGAAACCTGTAAATTTCCTTCCAACAAAGTCTTGGAATTTCAGCCGCCGAAAAGTTGGTTTGGATCCGTTCATTTCGGAAAACATTGGTGAGCGAGGCTTGGACCACGCGAAAATATGCAAATTTCTCAACCTCCATTGGCCAAAACCCATGGCCATTTAAAACGGCGGTAGTGCCCTTAGTGATTTCCATATCTATGACCTCACAAATATTTTTATGAATCAAAATTCCAGGTAGCCGGATGGTACCCTAAATTATAGCAGGTACAGCTGGATGGTTATTCCACCAATCATATGGAGGTGTCTAAACATGTGGGTTTCCCAAAACCATAGGTTTCAATACTAAACTGGTCTAATTTGGTTGATTTGGGTGTACCCCCATAACTCGGGAAGCCTCTATACGGTAATAGGTATCTTTACCCATCCCCATGTCCATCAAAATCATCTTACTGGTGCTTAGCAGGAAATGAGGGAATGATCCCAGTCATCACTAGTACTAATCATCCCCTTCCCCCATTCCCATCCATTCCCTACTAAGCACCAGTAAGAACATCATGTTCAAGAAGTGGAAAGGATTTCAGTTCAGTGTAGTCTTTCATAAAAATATCATCTCCATCAAAATCATTCCACACCTTGATTCGCTGCAGGTAGTTGTCCACGGGTCGCTTCTTGGCTGTTTTGTAGGCCGAAATCACCTACCAGTCAATTTTGGGTCCAACGGAAACGAACTGCCAATCCTTGGCCTATTGCCCGGGCTTTCCCTATAAGAAATGACACTTAAACCATCAACAAATAGGAGTTTCGTGGGATTTAATGGGATGTAAGAAGATTAACCCTGGATTTAATATGATTTAACTCTGGATTTAATGAGAGAATCATGTTAAACAATCCCCACCATGGTGGATGTAGGGGATGAAACCAGATATTTGGGACCATCAAACAGGGTGTTTCGAACGGGGGATGGGCTTCGACACCTGAAATCCCTACTGTGAATGGCTGCGAAATCCGATAAACCACCGAAAGGATCATTGAAACCCAAGGAATAATATTAAATGATAGAGATAAAAAAATAAGAACAAGATAAACCACCTACCAAGATAATAATAAGATAGCAGCTTTTAAATAATGAGACAAACCACCGTTTTCAACTGGTGCAGGATGCCTCGACCATCCATTACCCATCTGTGAGACATTGGGAACACATGAAATTGTGTCAAAGTACCAATCTAGTCGGTTGACCCGGGCAAGTAGGTCAGTTGTTTGTAACAGTGTGAACCAGGCTAGTAGATATCACTAGATATCCCCATGTGGCAAAAGATGAAATTGTATTCAAAGTACCCATACAGTCAGTTGATCGAGTTTGTAATGACCAATTCCGAACCATTTGAAGATGATATTTTCACTACATTCCACCATATTTCTAAGACATGATCTAAAAGTGACAGCCCCTTACAAGTAATATTCGCAAATGGTTGGGAACTGCATGGCATTGGTGACGTCCAGAAGTTGGGTGACCAACAAGAAATAACCACTGTTAGACATAAAATCTTTATAGATATAGATAGAGATAGAAACAGATAGAGATAGGAGAGATAGGGGGGAGAGAGAGAGAGATAGATAGATAGATAGATAGAAAGAAAGATAGATTAGATTCGAATAGATTAAATTAAATTAGATTAGCTTAGATTAGATAGATCGATAGATAGATAGATAGAGAGATAGAAAGAAAGAGAGATAGATAGATAGATAGAGAGATAGAAAGAAAGAGAGATAGATAGATAGATAGATAGATAGACAGATAGATAGATAGATAGATAGATAGACAGAGATAGATAGAAAGAAAGAAAGATAGATTAGATTCGAATAGATTAAATTAAATTAGATTAGCTTAGATTAGATAGATCGATAGATAGATAGAGAGATAGAAAGAAAGAGAGATAGATAGATAGATAGAGAGATAGAAAGAAAGAGAGATAGATAGATAGATAGATAGGTAGGTAGGTAGGTAGATAGAAAGATAGGTAGAGAGATAGATAGATAGATAGCTAGATAGATAGATAGATAGCTAGATTAATTAGATTAGATAGATCAGATAGATCAGATAGATTAGATAGATTAGATAGATAGGCTAGAAAGGATCGATAGGATCGATAGGATCGATAGGATAGATAGGATCGATAGGATCGATAGGATCGATAGGATCGATAGGATCGATAGGATAGATAGGATCGATAGGATAGATAGGATAGAAAGGATAGAAAGGATAGATAGGATAGATAGGGTAGATAGGATAGATAGGATAGATAGGATCGATAGGATAGTTAGGATAGGTAGGATTGATTAGATAGATAGATAGATAGACAGACAGATAGATAGATAGATAAGATAGGATAGGATAGGGTAGGGTAGGATAGAATAGAATAGAATAGCACAGGATAGAATTGAATAGAATAGATTAGATTAGATTAGATAGATAGATAGAAAGATAGATAGATGTGTGTATATATATAAATAAATATATATATAAATAAATAATTTAATAAATAAATAAACAAATAAGTAAATAAACAAATAAATAAATAGACAAATAAATAAATAAACAAACAAATAAATAAATAAATGCATATCATATATATATATAAATTATATATAAAGATCCCAACCATGGCTATTTCAAGGCTTTTGCTCCAACTTTTGGAAGTTCACCAAAAATTGGATCCTCCAGCTGCACCAAGGCACCGTGGCGATGGAGTTGGGATCTGGCGCCGCGTGGCACACCATCCCTTGGTGCGAGCGGTTGGGGCACCGCATAGTCTATGGGTTTCCTGGAAAAAGTCGCTGGGTGCTGGCTTAAGGGATTCTTAATTATTTCCCGAATGCGTAGCAAGGGTTCCCGTTTTACTCTGGGGGTCTGGGGGTTGAGGGTGTTTTCGCTCGACGTTGCGCAACCGTTCGCAAATGTTCGCAGCCGTCCACAACCGTTCGCAAGTGTCCGCGTGAGGTCAGTATGGCCGTGCCTGTGGCGAGTTCTGCAAAAGTGGTCACTTTTGGAGGTTTCAGACGTCGTGTAGCCTCGTTTACGTGGCAGGCGTGGCACTTCGCTACATTTCAACATGTTTCATAACATGTCAAAATTCGTTTTGTCGGGCAGGCGCAATACTCTTGCAACGTTTTCAGAAGATGCGTTGCATTTTTGGTGGCAGGCGCAACGCTTTGGCGACCTCCATCGTCATTTCGCGTAGCAGGCACAGCACTTTAGACGTGTCATGTTACGTGTTTTTCACGAATCGCAATGTCAGGGCTGCGTCAAGTGGCGGCAAGGTGCAAATTGCATGGTGGGCGTGACAATTTTTTGAGATGTGCTGAAATTGATGGAAGCCTCGCACGAAACATCGATTTTGAGGTAGCAAATTTTGAGGTTCATAAGAAAACTCGTAGGAAAACGTCGATTTTGAAGCTACGAAGTGTGAACATATGAGGAAGTCTGGCGTGAAATGCTCGTTTTGAGGCTCCAACACGTCTCGTCTCGATGTTCTGGTTTTATGCTAGCGTCGCTGTGTCTATGGGGGAAGCTGCCTGTCCTTTTCGAAGGTGTCAAAGCAAGTTGTAATGTGATTTTGCTTGGCAGGCGTGGCACTTCGTGACATTCTCATCATGCGTCCGCAAACGTGCCGAAAGTATCCGAAAGTCATTTTGTGTGGCAAGCGCAATGCTTTTGTGTACTCTACACTCCACACTCCACACACTACACTTCACACTCCACACGCTACAATCCCCACTTTACACTTTACACTTTGCAATCCACACTTTACACTTTACACTCCACACTTTACACTCCGCACTCCACACTTTACACTCCACACTCCACAGTTCACACTCCACACTCTACACATGACACTCCACACTCGACACTCTGTCAGAGACTCCACACTTTACACTCTACACTCCACACTCCACACTTTACACTTTACACTCCACACTTTACACTCCACACTTTACACTCTACACTTTACACTCCACACTCTACACTCCACACTCTACACTTTACACTCTACACTCCACACTCCACACTTTGCACTCCACAGTTTACACTCCACACTCCACACTTTACACTCTACACTCCTCACTCCACACTTTACACTCGACACTCCACACTCGACACTCCACACTCTACACTTTAAACTCCACACTTTACACTCTGCACTCTACACTCCACACTTTACACTGTGCTCTCCTCACTCCACACTGTACATTTTACACTCCACACTTTACACTGTTCAAAGAACTTCTTTCACAAAAGTGTTCTACGTGACTGCATTCGGGTTCGTGGGCTGCAATTGGTAATTTTTTTCCATATGAGATTACTTCAAAAACCAATGGATAAGGGGGAGCGATTCACCAAACTATGAATCCCCGAAGGACCATGCAGTTGACAACACTGAGAGGATCAGCCACAAACAGTCTCTATGGGAGGAGGTGGCACTGAGCCACTTGAGCCTTCAGGTTAGTGGATATTTATGGATTTTTCTGGTGTGATTTGAAATGAGTTAATGGGAATATAATCCACTTAATGGAGTATACCCTCTGGTAAACGTTTGCAGTTTGCGATTGAAAATGGCCATTGAGAAATCGTATGAAACCGTTGATTTACCCATTAATAACCGTTATTTTCCATAGTTGTGTTAGTTTATCAGAGGGGAACAGAAAATGGGGAACCAGGTGGAGCTGCGAATTGACTTTCCCAACCACATGGTGGAGAAAAATATATGATGATCAGATGTTGTTAGAATCAGTGGCCATTTTGGGAACCTAAATTGGAGGTACCTACCATCTGTAAGATACAAGGTCTATGCAAGTTTTGATACAGCCTCAAATGAATATGTAAGATGATGTTGGTCCTTGTTCCCATGTAGGCCAGCGGAGGTCCGTTGCGAAGCGTCATGTGTCGCCCAGCTCTTTGCGAAGCGCCCTGATGCGTTCCTCCAGTTGGTAGGAGTCTTTGATGCGCTGAAGGGTCTGGAGGGACTTCTCGACTCGCCTGTCGAGGTTCTGCTCTTCCCACCGCTTTCGCCACCCTTTCAGCTGGGGCTTCTTCACCAATGGATCACGCGCCATGACACACCTCATGAAAAATCCCAAACTAACTGTTGATTCACCAGGCTGGCTAGTTCTTCAAATGGGGGATCCCTGTATCCCCGTGGCCAAACAGCAGAAAATCGACGAGGCCAAGGGACTCTTCAGCCATTTTTCGGCGAGAACAGGATGTCCTGAAAGGGCAAAGGATCTGGATCCGTGAGCGGCAGAGCTGCTTACCCTCTGGTTATGACTAACAGCTTGCCATGGAAAATCACCATGCTATTAATGGGTAAATCAACTATTTCAATGGTCATTTTCAATAGCTATGTGAGTTTACCAGAGGGTAGATGATGTTAGATTCATGTAATATCCCATAAACATGGCTAGTTCGATTATGATTAAGTTGAGTTTTAAGTACTTATCAACGATATGCCCATAGTGGTTGAAAGATGTTAAACCTATTTTAGATGGTGGAATTTCAGTAGAGCTATTTCGAGCTAAATCCCTCAGGTCCATGGAGGCTCGCTGGAATTTTTTGACCCGTGGACACCCGGTTTGAAGTACACGAAGTGTGACGAATATTAATATAATATATATATAGTGCATATAGCTATTATATAGCTTAATATATTAATATAACTATATATAATAGAACTATTCTAATTGGTGGTATACCTACCCCCCTGAAACATATGACAGTCAATGGGAAGGATGACATCCCATGTATTATGGAAAATAAAACATGTTCCAAACCACCAACCAGTATTGTTGTTTTTCTTGATCAGTCACCCTTCCGCGAATGATCCCCGTTGCTTCAGCACCGGATTCCCATTCTGGGTATTTCATAATCCCGAATAAACACCAGGGAGGCTCATAACCTCCATTATTACAACTAAGCAACCAGGCTTTTGGCCATGAATCATGGCAAATCACATGGCTTATCGTGATTTTCATTCATTTCCCCCATCAAAACTACTATGTTCAAATGAGGGAATAACATGATTTTACGACTATTTGATACATATATCATATTTTCCATATTTTTTCCATTTATCATCATTTTCTCCAGCCATCTCCATGTTCAAAACCCATTCTTGACCACCGGCCTAAGCGTGCCAAAGCAGTGATGCAGCTGTTGAAGAGGTTTCCTTCCAATGGCACCTGCGACAGCTCTGCAATCGGCGGCTCCGGAGTGACTGGTTTCCATCAATGGGAAAAAGGATGGTTTCTGATGGAATATCCCACAGGATGGTGCCCCCCAGTAATAAGTTGGTGTATAACCCCCATTAACTAGAGTTATATCTGCCATAAACCATAGTTATTTTAGTTATCAACCAACTTACCTAACGAACTGGGGCACCACCTTGTATCTGGTTGGTGGTTTCAACCCTTCTGAAAAATATGAAAGTCAGTTGGGATTATTATTCCCAATATATGAAAACATAGGTTCCAATCCACCAACCATTAACATGGATGATGAAAAAATGGGGTACCCCTACTATGGAAAGCCTCATGTTATCTCAAGGAGTCAATAAAAAATATAAACATCCATGCAATGTGGTGCCCCATAGTTAGCTAAGTTGGTTTATAACTCCCATAACTATGGTTTATGGCAGATCTTACTCTAGTTAATGGGGTTTATAAACCAACTGATAACTGGGGGGCACCATCCTGTAATCCACTTGTTCATCCCTGCAAGGAGCCCTTGCAACATTAGTCTGTTGGCATAAATCCATCAATGAACCCAAGATTTGTTTCCCCATCAAAACTGACATATTGAGTTTTTAGATGATCTTCATTTGTTTTCCCATTAAACCTCCATTTCTCTCAGGAAATTCGGTCATTTTCGCCATTTTCCGAAGATTTTCCCAAGATTTTCAGCCACACCTTGGCGTCAATGGCTCGTTGCATCCACACTTCCACATCCTCGATGCAGCTGATGTGCCTGGAGAGGCCACATCGAGAACCAAACTTCGAGAAATCTTCAGAAATCGCCTCTGGTTTTATTGGATTTCATGGGTGTTACCCTCTGGTTATGACTAACATTTTGCCATGGGATTTCGATGGCCCTAATCGAAATAGATGGTTTACCGTTCTTAAACATGGTGATTTTCCATGGCAAACTGTTAAATAACCAGATGGTAAAATGGGATTTTCAATGGGATTATCATCTACTTCATGGGATATATCCTCTGGTTTGTGATCAAACATGACGGGATTATGTTCCATTAAACACACCTTTCTGGCCGGTGAAACAACTTAGGTGTGATTCCCGTTAGTAGATTTAATAGGTGGCTCCAAATGCTTTGGACCCATATCTGAAGCAAACATCCCATCTGTGACTCAACTAAGTCTGGTCAGATGTAATGGCAGAATTGGGGCCGTAACTCCTAGAAAACGTGAGGGCCCCATCGACCAAAACTCCAAGAACAAGTCACATTTTTGAGCCATACTCAAATAGGAGGGTCAAGAAATGGGGAATGAAGAATCGTGAAACTAGCACTGTTGACAATGCTTGGAATAACCTAGAAATTGGTTGCAGGCACTCACTCAAAAACATGTCAAACGACAGCCTCTGCAAGTGAGTTCGACAATCCAAGAACATCATTGAAACCACAACCCAACATTGTAGCAAGCATCAATATCATACTCAAAACACCACACTATAACTTGGATTTGCTTAAGGGGTTCCCCCCCCCAAAAAAATATTGACTATAGATTCCGCCAATGGTGGATTTTCCATTGGGAAAATAAGCCAAATCACCTTAAACTTTAAACAAACCCATAATACACGATATGATAACGATCACTCCATCAATCCATGTTGATGCCCTTTTGGGTTCAGGGGTGTGTTGACCTCCGTGCCAGAGTCATCGCAGAGCTAGCGACATGTAGCGTGTTGACCATCAGCAAGGTATTACACTGGAGAAATCGAGGGAAAATATGATTCACCATTACTGGTTTCTCCATTGTAATACTGGTAATGTGACTGGTTTACCATTACCGGAGTGACTGGTTTCCATCAATGGGAAAAGGATGGTTTATGATGGAATATCCTATCTGGTTGGCGGTTTCAGCTCCTCTGAAAAACATGCTAGTCAGTTGGGATGATTATTCCCAATAGATGGAACAATAAAGACCATGTTCCAAACCACCAACCAGCGATTCACCATAAAATTTGGCTTTGGGACATGGAATAACATCTGGTAAACTAACATAGCTATGGAAAATGGCCATAGAAATAGTGAGTTTTCCCATAAAACATGGTGATTTTCCATAGTTAAACGTTGGTTTACCGGAGGGTATTCCATTTTCCAATGACTTCGTGAACTAGCGAACACTGTGGCGAACTATGCGCAACCTCCTATTGTTCAGAAAGGACGAACCCATTGACATAAGGTGAGCCAAGCGTTCCGACGCCGCTTTGGGGCACCCCCCCCAAAAAAAAAGGCCTCAGCTAGGATCATTTGGGTTTCTGAAGAATTTCGAGGTGTCCCAAAGGATTACAAAAGTCATGTGGGAAAACCATGGAAAAGTAACTTGGGCCCCGGTAACTTGGATCATTTTGGGCGTTTCCACCGGTTTTTTGGGATCACCTGGATAATGTGATCCCAGGATCTCATCTTCGCGGCACCATGTCAGCATGGGTCCATGTTGTGATCGTAGCTGGTTAGCTTGACTCCACCAGAGTTGTACCAAAGTTACTCAACGACCAATCAGTTCACCATCATTTTTCAGCCGATTTTTGTTGCTTCAACTTGGTTCAACCGGTGCCCCTGTTTCCAATGACTAATTCCTTAGCCATCCAGTCGGTTCCCGGCCTCTCAGACCGCAGAAGGACTGATAGGCCGAAAATCCAATGGCGGGAGCCTGGTGCCAGTGATGCGAGGCTGAAGAATTAGGCTGGCGAAAGATTGGGGGATGGTAGGACGAAATCTTCAAACCATTCTAAATCCCCAATGAAGATCAATAACGCATAATAGAGTGTCAACTACTCCCAAGATATCGGGGAGTCTTATTTGATGAAAGGAACCATTACAATATTATTTTATCAAATACACACCTCCTGCCCCCAAAGTTCAATGTTGAGGTCAACTGAAGTGCGTTGGCCCCAATGGGTGAAAGAAATCAAGTCCCCTGTAGCACCACACTTGGCAAAACGGTGAAACATTGAGTTTTGGGCGGTGGAGGGAGCACTGCAAACAGTAAGGCAACAGTCACCGCAAAGAACATGGCTGTCACCATGCTTTCATGGCTTGACATGGCTAATGGACAAAGGAGTTTCGAACCATGTCTGGTAACCAAAACGTTTTTGTTGATTGCTGACATCGTACTGGGTCAGTATTTCTCCTTCGCGGCTAGGGACACTAGCGTCGCGCGGAAATAGTTGTCCTTTGATGCGTCCACCTCAGATGCCGGCGTCAGAAACCTTTTGAGGATGAGGACAAGGGCATCCACCAGTCCTGTCCTTTGCTTTCTCGTAAAGGGGACACCGTGTTGTACAAGCCCCATGGCAAGCGGCAGACGAGCAGGGTTCGCCGCCGCGAAAACGTTCATTTCCCGTCTGCTCTTGGTGTTACCCAGGTATTGTAAACGCGCAAGCGTGATGTTCAGCTCCGGGTTGGCGAGGATAGGCTTGGGCCAATGCATGCTGGGTTCAAAGTAGTTAGACTGGGTCATGTGTTTCTCCACTAAATTGCCACAAAAGGCCCGAGCAATCGCTTGCGGAAGCAGGGCTCAATACTCTTGGGGGCAATCCGCTTGTACGCAAACTGGACCGCATTGTCAGTACGCCCGTGCATGACTTTCTCCATGAAGTACATGGCAAGGTTTGAATATTTTGTCCATCTACTGTAGTTGATTCTTAATAGTTCAACTAGATAACTATCGGTTTTATTAGTTCAATTGGATTGGATCTTGAACTATTTAACCTTTGATTTTTAAGCAGTGCTGTGCTACGGGTGTCTCCAAAAATGAGGTATACCGGTATACCCATAAGACTAAAATGGCAAACAGAAAGTAGGGAAAAGGGAACACGATGACAACCCGTCAAATTTAGGGATACCCTATCTTCAACCACATCCATATACACTGCTGGGGATGTATTCTTAATACCTTGGTTTTTCCTACTCGCCTAAAATATCCCTAAGACTGGACGTTCAGGAAGGAACATGGAGAGAGTAGGATCAAACATGGCTGGCGTATCTAATCAATAAACAAAATAAGATGGTTGGTGGTGCAATAATCATCTTGAAAAATATGCGTTCGTCAATGGGAAGGATGACATTCCATATATGAAATGGAAAATCACCATGCTATTAATAGGTAAACATAGGTAAACCATCTATTTTCATGGGCCATGGCTTCCATGGCTATGTTAGTCATAACCAGAGGGTAATCAATAAACAAATTAAACATAGCATGGAAAAACACATCTCATGACCAATCGCAGATACTATTCTACATCCAAGAATGGATATCCAATAGGATATTGTACCATATTTCATTGTATCATCTGGTTGGGGGTATACCTGCCCCTCTGAAAAATATAAAACAACATTCCCACCTGAATGGAAAAACAAAAATCATGTTCCAAGCCGCCACCCAGTAATTGATAAATATATTGCATCTTTCGCGCATTAAACCTACGGTGGATGGTTGCGAAATCCTGCACCAGTTGATAGATGGTTTATCCCATTAATTATAGGGTTTCAACCATCCTTTTGGTGGTTTATCGGATTTCGCTGGCCCATCCACAGTAGGGATTTGAGCAACAAGTGGGATTGTTTTACCAACCAGCCCCTTTTTTGCGCGGTGTCTAGTCCCATCCCCCGTTCGAAACACCCACATGCTTGATGGTCCCTTAAATATCTGGTTTCATCCCCTACATCTACCATGGTTTCTGGGGGTTGTTTAACATGATTCTCTCATTAAATCCCATTAAATCCAGAGTTAAATCTTATTAAATCCTATTATATAAGTCCCATGAAATCCCTATTTGTTAATGGTTTAATTGTCATTTCTCATAGGGGAAGCAAAAAGCCAAGGATTGGCAGTTCGTTTCCGTTGGAACCTTTTGACTGGTAGGTGATTTCACAAGAAATGCTTTGATTTGCTGCTTCGGAAACACCCTCCGGCCCTCCGGTGACACCGTTTTGCTGAAGCGCCTACTTGCCGAAGCTTCAGCAGCAACTCCTGGAGGTCTCTTTTCGGTGGCAAGGGAAAAGAATAAACAGGGGATGGATAGCTTTCAACAGCGGGGAAGATTTACTAAGAAAAAATTGAATTGAAATTATTTGAACCAGAAATATGGTGAGTAATAGAGTTATGATCAAAAAGGATATGGGGGGGACCAGAAGTTCGCTAGTGTCGAGAATATGTGCAGCATCCGCAAAAAAGTGGTTGACGGCTTTGGACACCTGGAAATGATGAAGTACATAGCATCCAAACATCGGAAAAGCCTTTCCATCTCTGGATCCGATGACACGACGGTGGAAAAGCCACTTTTCCTGCTCTTCCCAGGGAAGTTTTCACACCAAGATAGCTGATCTCAAGCGGATGAGATCTTCCACCCATTCACCGGAGGATCGTCTTCTGGATCGCAAGGGGAAGATTCACCATAGTTACAGATGGGATAACCGATTGAATGGACCCTTACCAGGGTTACGAAGCAAATACTAAGTGGAGCGATCCTCTAAGCAACGGTATAAAACTGGGAGGTTTCTCCATGAAACAGGGAAAACTCATTGCCGTCCTCAGGTATCCATGACCCATTCCCTGTCATTCATGGTTAACCTTGGATACCATCATCAAGGGGAGAATGATCTACATTTGTAGTTGGTTTAAACATGCTATTCCCCCCAAAAGGGGGTTTCTTGAAATGGTAAATCCCAAAGTCACCATAGGATTCAATACTAACATGGTCATGCATGACTTCGATGATTTGCGGGCACCACCATTTTAGGAAACCATCATTTATTAGTTATACATTAGTTATACTTATATCGCCATATTTTTCATGGTAAAACCATGCGAAACCCCCTACAGGATGGGCGCCCCCTAGTTATAAGTTGGTTTATCACCCCATCTAAACATATTTACAAGTCTCATACACCAACTTGTTAGTATAGTAACTTAGCTAACTATCTATTTTTTCCCCATCCTGTATGAAATCAGTCATTTCCTCCAATTTTTCATGGCCAAAGCGTGGAAAGGCCTCGATCCGTTCCAGCTCCAACTGCCGGAAGAGGGCCACCAAACCACCCGAGATCTCAGCAGTTGGCCAACTACTGGAGAAATGGTCCCATTTTGCATGATCTTGGATAATTTAGCTATAAAAAATCTGATTTCATGGGTTGGTAGTGGAAAATCACTGAACTAACCAAGGTTTATAGCTGGTGAAATTCCTCGGACAATTTGCTTGGGGATTTTCCAGCAAGCCATGGAGCTGATTACGGAAGGATGGGTACATTTACCACTCCGCAATGGGGTTTGGTGGAACACAACAACCTCAGACCCAACTGGCCAAAATCACTTAGACAGAGTGATTTTTGCATGGGAAAGTGGTGAGCAATGGTTTTGGAGTAGCCCGAGTTAAAGACATGTCCAAGTAAATGGAGGCCTTATCCGTAAGACAAACATATTTATGTACATTGGAAAAATGGTGGATTTAAACAAGAAAAATATGGAGGTGTCACCAAGACAAATAATACAGTACAGTATATATATATATACATGACGGGTTTGTAGTTGTTTGTGCCGTAACTAATTAAGTGACAGGTCAAGCATGTTACGACCGAGCTAAACCTAGAATATCTCCGTGAAAATATATCGATTTTATGATTACACAAATAGATAAACTTGGAAAAGTGTGGCATAGTACAAGTACCATCGAAAACTTGGGGATTTACCATGAGTAATACGGGGACTTTGTTACACTCTTCCACACATTGGATCTATGGTGGGATTATCAAGAGTTGGACGGACAGACATATACCTATTCGTAACTGGGGGGCCCATGTTGCAGGAACGGAATGGTTTTATGAGTAAACACAATGATTAACCAAGGAACTTAGGAATACCCCAGTATATATATATATATGGTACACCCCCCTGCCAAGATCAGTGGCAGGGGGGTTGTAATTGTGAGGTAAGTTTCTCATAGGGACCGATCTTGGGGGGGGTGTAGCATATATATATATGATATATTCATTAGCTACTGTGTGTATATATATATATAGACATACACATATTGCTACTATATACGTATATACATGTACATGTGCGATTATATATGTGGAACACGTATGGACAAACCATATATCATGACCGTGGCAATCTTCCCAAGTTCTTTCTCAGAAATCGTCTCCGAGATGCCACAGAAATAGGACACTCCAACATCTTCAGAACCAACTCTTCTGCCTCGCAGGTGGAAAGTCAGATTTCCCCACAAACAACACATGGCGTGCTTTTTTTTATGGCTAGTTTGCTTTCCAAGCTTCAACTCTTCGATTTATCGATCCTTGCAAAACACTTCCTTTTGAATCTGCCTTGGGGTTGCCACACAGTATATATAGACATATATATATATACACACACACATATGTATATAATATGTATACCTCTATGGGATTGTCGAACAAGCCACAGAAGATGGCCATTTTAGGGCCATGAAACCATGGCAAATTTTCGCTTGCTGCCATGGCAGTTGGAGGTTTTCATAGTGGGGCTACCCCTTTACCGCTGGATGTTTGAGAATGGAAATTCCCATTAGAATGGATGATTTCCTATTAAAATGGAGGGTTTATAATGGAAATTCCCATTAAAATTGATGATTTGGGGGTACCACCATTTATTCAACTCTTTCTCTCATTTTTGCTGTCGTTGACTGCTCAGTTGACTTTTGCAAATCTCCACCGTTTTGGATGGTGACACCCCACACAAAAAGAGTTGGACACAGCATCTTCCATGATTTCATGGCTAACAACTAAGCCCATGCACACCATTCACCATTTGCTTTACCCAGTTTTACCCAGTTCCGCCATGTCCCCAGTTCGACTCAATCCCCCTTTCTGGCAACAAACAGTCTCCGATCCTGGAGTAACTTTTGCTGCTGCAAATCGCGATTTTATTGGTGGCAAAAGTTGGTCATCTATTAGATTTATCTATAGATCATTTTCCCAGCAAAAGCGTCCGTTGTCCATATGCACGTTGATTTATCCGGGGGCAAAGAATCAATCCCACCCTTTCCTGAAACAAATCCAGTCGTTCTCCACACTAACAGGGCAAATCCAAATTCTTTGTTGCACTACAGTAATTTCATCAGTTCTAGTTACTCAAATCCCATTTGTTGATAAGTAAACCACCATTTGAGGTGCAGGAATCCACATTTTTTGGTGGCTAGATCCCCAGATGTTATTACCCTCTCGTAAACATACGAAAAGTATGGACAACCAACTATTTCTATGGGCCATCTATACCATAGCAAACTGTTAAATCCCCAGATGTATTAGTTCATAGCACGTCATCGGCCTCCACCATCCGAACTTCTTTGATCAAGGCATCCACCACCAACTGAGAGCGGCCGCCCGGCGGTGCTCGCCAGGTGACGGTGACTTGGAGGTTCACCCTGTGGAAAGTTTTGATGAAAATCCACTAGTTGTAGATGATTTTCCTAAGAAACCCATTTCATGGTTTTCCGCATCTATCTTAGTTTGCCCTAGGGTAAGTGGTGAATCGTTTATCCATAAAAGATAGATGGGTTGAACACCATAAATAATCAAAGTTTGCCCCATTCATTAGCTTTTGCCATTTATAATCAAAGTTCGTTTATCCATAAATGGGAAAAGCTCATGAATGGGGATGTACTTGCGATCGGCTGCACCACTTGGGAAGTGGGATGATCTTAGTGGTAGTCAACTGTTAGATGGGTTGAAGCCAGGTTGCAATTTTTAGACTAGGTTACCCTCTGGTAACTTAACATAGCTATTGAACATGGCAATTTTTAGTTGATTTACCCATTAAAAAGGGTGATTTTCAACAACTATGTTAGTTTACCAGAGGGTAACTGTTGGGCTGCACAGGGTGAATATATCTATAGTTAGATGGGTTTATATATCCAACTCATTCCTAGGGGGCATCCAAATGGTATAAGTCTGAAAAGTGGGATTTGTATCATGAACAATGATGGTGAATTTAATCACATGGCTTCAGTTCAGTTCATCTTGGAACCTGCTATTTCCGCAGCATCGAAGCCATCTCAGCCTTGCTGTAGCACCATCAGTGAGGTTCAAGGCCTCCGCATGCGGCACCCTCCGGTGGCACTTCTCAACGCCGTCAGGCAAGAAGTCTCCGTTGGAGAACACCCAGTGACGACCAGGCGTCCGCCGCGTCCGCCTCTTCGTCCCACGGACGAAGGGCCGGCTTGGATGGCGCACTTGTTGGATGGTGCGATCAAAGGTAATCCAAGGTATAGTTCTGGGGGTAATTTCTATCCACCACAAACATGTTGACTCTGCTTGCGCATCCCACTTGGCCAATTCAGATTTAGTTTCCTGGGATTATATATCCAGAAAGGGACGCTCTCAGTCCCCACGTTTCTCAGTCCCCACGTTTCTCAGTTCCCACGTTTCCACATGTCTGGACAGACGACGTGACAGATTACATATGAATCTTTGTTAGGAAAAATGTTACGTCTACGGAATTTATGCTTATGAATCTGTAGTGTCACTAACAAGCAGACTTGAGGAACACCTGACTCTGATTATATTTCTAATTCACAGGAAAGAAAGAGCCACACAGAAAATAAACGGAAAAAAAAATTGGGCTGACCCCCCCCCCCCCTAGATGGGCTATCTTGGCTATCTTGGTGGCTCTAGGTGGCTCTCTGGGCCATCTTGTCTGCTACAGCCTCATATGGTATTCTTATGGGACTTCCACTGGGTTCTTATGGGATTTCTATGGTATGTCTATGATATTTCTATGGAATTCCTATGAGATGTCTGAGGGAAATCTATGGTATTCTTATGGGATTTCTTTGTGGTTCCTATGCTATTTCCATGTTATATCTATGATATTTCTATGGGGATTTCTGTGGGATTTTCCATGATATGTCTATGATATTTCTATGGGGTTCCTATAGGATTTAAACAGGATTTCTATGGTACTTCTATGATATGTTCAGAGGATTTCTTTGGGAATTCTATGGGATTTCCATGAGGTGTCTTGAGAATGTCTATGGTAGTTCTATGATATTTTCTATGGGACTTCTATTGGATTCCTGTGGGGTTCCATTGTAGTTCTATGATATTTCTTTGGGACTACTATTGGATTTCTATGGGATGCCGATTGTATTTCTATGGGATTCCTATGGGGATTCAAAAGGATGTCTGTGGGATTTACATTGGGATCCTATGGGATTTCCATGATGTTTCTATGATAGTTCTAGGGGATTTCTATGGGATTTCTGAAGGGATGCTATGAGAATTCTATGGTATTCTCATGGGAGTCCCATTGGATTACTATGGGGGTTCTAAGGTGTCTTTGTGATGTTTCTATGGGATTTCTTTGGGATTACTACGGGGTTCCGACGGCATTCCTATGGGAGTTCCATGATGTTTCTATACTTCTATGGGATTACTATGGGATTCCTGAGGGAATGCTATGGGATTCTTTAGGGAATTCTATGGGATTCTTTTAGGATTTCTTTGTGGGATTCCTGTGCTATTCCATGTTAATTCTATGATCTTTATATGGGATTTCTGTGAGATTCCTAAAGGATTTCTATGATATTTCCATGGGATTACTATGGGGTGCCAATTGAAAGGAAGTTGAAACCATTTCAAAATAAATTCAAACTAAAGTGAAAAAACAACATCCAAACATTTTTTTCAAGGGGGTAGTCCATGAGCAAGAGATGAATCAAGACCAAAGGTTTCCCAAAAAAGATGAACTTCAGCCAACCAACAAAATCCATGAATGACAATGATCTTCAATAGTATGTTTGTTGTGGTGGTCCTCTATTGTGTCCAGCTTTTTTTTTGGCAGTAAACATTTTCCAAAATCATGTTCTCCTTCCCTTTTCCTTTGCTAATACGTTTCTCTTTTTTACTTTCTTAGCTCATTCTTTTGGAATTCTCAAAATGTCTAAATGAAAAGTTTTTTCCTAAGGGTGAGCTTCAGCCAGCCAAGGGATTTCCATGGGATGTCTGTGAAATTTATTTTGGATTTCTTTGATATTTCTATGGTATGCCTATTGGATTTCTATGGTATTCCTATGGAATTTCCATGATGTTTCTATGATATTTCTGGAGCATTTCTATGGGATTTCTGAAGGAATACTATGGAAATTCTATGGTATTCTTATGGGACTTCCAATGGATTCCTATGGGATTTCTATGGTGTTTCTATGATGTTTCTATGATATCTCTATGGAATTTCTATGGGATGCCTGAGGGAAATCTATGGTATTCTTATGGGATTTCTTTGTGGTTCCTATGCTATTTCCATGTTATATCTATGATATTTCTATGGGCATTTCTGTGGGATTTTCCATGATATGTCTATGATATTTCTATGGGGTTCCTATGGGATTTAAACAGGATTTCTATGGTACTTCTATGATATGTTCAGAGGATTTCTTTGGGAATTCTATGGGATTTCCATGAGGTGTCTTGAGAATGTCTATGGTAGTTCTATGATATTTCTATGGGACTTCTATTTGGTTCCTGTGGGATTCCATTGGTATTGTTTAATATGATGTTTCTTTGAGACTAGGACTAGAAACTTAATCAGTGATAAATAACTAGAAAAAATAGTAAAAAGCAGCTAAAAATCACGTAAAAACTGGGGACCCACAGCGTCCCACACTCTATATATCCCATTCAAAAAAAGAGAAAACCCACACTATGCTAATCGCTGCAAGCCAGTTGATGAAAGACATCATTTAGAAACATATAGGAACCTCATTAAATCTAATCAACATGTATTCACCAGATTCGGAATGAAGGTTTTCCAAAACATTCCAAAACCATTCATTTTAATAGATTTTTCCAGTATAAAGCCTCCATTTTGGAGATCCTCCATGTATGGAAACCCCCAAAGAAGTGAACGAAGACATCTTCAGATGGGATTTCCAATCAACACCAATCCCCACCTGAAAGCTCTTGGGCGAAATCTGTCGCCCGTTCTTCCTCAAGACTTGAAGCCAACCGCTGGCTCGCGTGACATCTACGTCCGCACAAGCCTTGGAGCGGGTGGGTTTTTTTGGGGTTCGTGACGCTGTGATCAAACGTGACAGTGAAACATCCCCATATTTCGCGTGCAAATCATCTATCTGGGCAAATGCTATTCCCTCGTTTCATATCACTTTGGCATATTTTTTTGGGTTGGTCGTTCAGACTTCGCGATTTGAATGACTGGCGGTAAATTGTCCAAGAGTGCCTGCTGCCGTCCTCGGCCCGATACAAGTGGCAATACTGTACAACCTCACAAAGCCCAAAACCATCCTAGAGAGGAGGAATGGAAACTAATGGGAACATCACCATTTTGAATGGACGGAATGGACACTGTAAATGGAAGTCCTTCGAGTGCATCTTCCAAAGCGCAATCGACAAAAATCCATGAAATCATGGGAATTCAGCTATGATTTCCTACAGATTTGTCCTTAATCTAAGCCTTAAACCAATCCATTGTTTTTTTTGGATTGTGGTAATTAGAGCCATTCATGTGCTATTTGGTACTACCATTCATTGGTGGTATTTTTCGCTATCATGGCAAATAGCATCAAGTTATGCTGGTGGCTATTGATGTTAATGTGATTTCCATACTGGATTGTGAATCCCTTAAATATTCTGCCTAGCATGTCCCCGTGTATTACTCACCAACCGACTGGGGTCTTGACATTGCTGAGTTGTTGGACTGCCTGGGTTTTAAAATGACTTACAGTGATTTACCATACCTGCAACCAAGATAAACGCTGCCCCGATTTCTCATATGAGTCAAGACAGCAAATATATCCATCAATATTAGCATAACATTCTATTTTTCTGATGAATCTCCCATAGTTTTCCCATAGAAAGTCACATAGAAACTCCCAGCTTTCTACACTTTCAGCCGAACTACTGCGATCAGGCTCTGGGTGGAAGCGCTCGACAATTCATGCCTTGCACGCCCGCTTCCCGCTGAAGAAAAACGGGCGAATTTGCTGATTTGCTGAGGAAAAACGGGTGATTTTTTCATGGGGATTCAATTTTGGCAGTAGCAAAAGAGGAATATCATGAAATATCATCTGAAGTAACTTAGGTAACTTGCTCAAGATCACCGAAGATAGCTAAGAAAGTCTTCCCAATTCCCCCATTTCAGCATTGATTTTGAGATCTGGAAGACCTCATCGAATCCAGGATACTGATACAAGATGAGGCCCCCCAGATATGTTTGTTGGTTCAAACAGGTCCATGAAAGCTATGGTTCTATTCCCCGTCAATCAATCTCTTGGTTTAAGGGAAAATTTGCAAGAACCCCCCATATTTCATGGAAAATCGATGGTTTCCGGTTAAGATTTCCCCTCCGAGAAACCCATAAAAGTCCAACAGTTCACCAAGTTATGTGCATCAACTTAGCTATCGTTTTGGGGCCTCACCTTTTATGGATTTGTGAGCCCCAATTCCAAAGGGTTATTACTATTTTGGCTGTTCACATTTTGCTATTTGGGACCACCATTTTCAGACATACCCATGTGGATCTGTCTATGGGGATATTTTTTGGTGGAAAAAAAGGATATACAAAACCATATACCCTCTGGTAATTTAACATAGCCATTGAACATGGCCATTTATAGTGGATTTACCCATTAAAAATGGTGATTTTCCATAGTTATTTGTATGTTTACCAGAGGGTAACCAATTTGATATGATATTTGGCTTGGTGCCCATCAACGATTGTTCAACCACCAATGGGGATGTGTCTCAGCCTAAGGCATATTTGATCGGATATTATGTGATATATTATATGTTAAATCCATGAGAATTTTATATATTTCTTATATATGATATGCATTGTTATATCCATTCAAATCATGATATATCTAAATACATATCGCTATATCATTGATTGTCTATGGATACAAAATTAAAGAAATGGAGGTTTCCAATTCATGAGGGTACCCCTAAATCATCCAAGTCATTAGACTTGTTGATCCATCATTTAAAGAACCCCACAAATGATGTTATATTATGTTCCCATCATACCACCATTTTGGTTCGCCAAATATGTCATTTTTCTTGCTTAAATCACTATGAAGTCCCCATTTTTAACAGCTTAATGATCACATGTTGTATATCATATGTTATATCCATTAGATATTTGGTATACACATATGATACGTTTTGTTTTATATCCATCTATATAATATATATATGGTCAACAATTGAACAAAAACATCTGATTTGCGATGATTTCCGAGCTCCCAGCCTCGCCAGTCGTAGAAATTCCTTCTCCGCACAGTGGAACTCTGCTTCACGCAGCTGACGCACGACGCGCGCCACCTGGCAATGAAATAGCATGGCGTCGCATGGTGTAGCTGGCTTGGTCCAACTTTTTTACGGAGCCGAAACCACCCAAAACCTACAGATTTAACCATAGATTGATTTAACCATAGGATTTAAGATGATTAAAGATGATTTACCTTTTAACCAATCAAAAATAGGGATTTAAGATGATTTAAGCATAGACAATTGACAATCGAGATTCAACCCCCTTAGAAAAACGGGATTTAAGCATCGGAAATAGGGGGAAAAACCCTCAAAATACTGGGATTCAAAAGCATTATGAGGTCTGGATTCAACAACCTGAAAGTTGTGTCTATACGAAAATAGGGGATTGCTGCGAATGATTTGTTGTTATCATAGCAAGAACATATGTTCTCAGGCATCATTTTTGGGATATTTTTTTGGTATTTTCAGACAAAACCAAATACCTTCCTAGTTAACCAACCTAAAATGGGATACGCACCATATTGGCTAATTATATAGCTTTTTCATGTTTTTTTTTCCAAAAAAGGGCATGTCCATGTATATACTGTAAAGTTGCTTTTTCTGTGCAGGAAAATGACGAAAAACCAATGGATTCTTGGAGTAATTACATCGGTTTGGACAACCACCTGTACCGGAGATCACGGTGATACCCCCCAAAAAAGGGCTTTGTACCCCCGGTGAACATCAAAATAGCTGGTAAATGGATGTCCATCCTCATTAAAAAAATATAGACATGCTAGTTTTAGGTATTGATCCATAGCCATCCATGGCCTAGGTCCATTTGCCATGTATCTACAGTTGGATTGGTTTACGATCCACACAACTGGGATTGACTTTAGTCGCCACATCCAAGCAATGCATTAGTCGGGCGCTGGCAGCACTGAATTTAGCCGCGACATGCATGGAACCACATAAACCACTCATTCTTACATGTCGAGATGCTTCTGAAACACTCAAAAAAACTAAGAATACAATGCTGAATCATAGAGGCCTGCATCACGTTGACATCATCACGTGACATGTGTGGTTGTCTGGCTCACCAACTGGACTATCTGTGCCATTTAGAAAAATCTCCACCTTCGGGTCTCTGAAACCAACGACCGGTTTTCATGATTTGTTGCATCCATATTTTCGATATTTTCATCGTTGGGGATCATCAAACGAAATATTTCAGCTGAAAACAACAGATCCGTGGAACCACCAAGCAGTTTTACTGATGATGCTGAAACTCATCCTCCCATTTTTGCTACAGTCTTGCATGCGGTGAAATCTTATTTTCATTGCTTCAATACCCCCCAACAAATCACGATTGTTGCAAATACGGTCATTAGTTTCCCATGATTGTTGCCATAGCTGCTATAGCTTGTAATTAACATGTTTTTTGCAGTTTTTTGCCCATAGGACCCAGCATTTTCGCCCATCAATCCATGATTTTTGCCCATTTTGAAATTCACCGCATCAGATGCACTCCGAAACAAGCGCCCTTTCTGCCTGCGCCTCTTCATCTGGCAAGCACCTGGTGACAATGTCACAAGCAATAAATATGGCTGATATGGTATAAATATGGTCTATGGTGATTCTAACTTATAACATCAAAGCTAACTATTGGGGTGGAATTTCACCAGTTTGTTATAACATCTATGGTGATTTATTGCTAAGGCTTATAATATGAACACATATTAACACTAACTCTTAGGCTAGGATTTCACCCTGTTAATGGGATATAAGTGCTGTGGCACTGGGGATGCCTCGTGGGGATAACGAACTCCATATGAGATTTTTGATGGGGATATACTGGTTGATATGACTAGATTGCTTCAGATGGGTGAATCCAAAGTTGGATCTATGGTGATTTGAACTTATACTATTGGGGCTGGGATTTAATCAATAAGCCATAAATTTCCATAAGGACATTACCGGAAACCATGGATTTTTAACCGTCAAACATTTGGGGTTTCCTGTAGATTTTCCCATCACCTCCGGGAAATCAATTTGGGGATACAGGACCAACTTCATATGATATATGATCATATGAGAAAAAATGAAAAACCATCTGGTCAAATGTTAGTTTAAAACTAATATTAAGTCAAAACAATCCGAAAAAAGTGACCATAACCATATTTTTCATATTTTCCGGATTAGTTTAAATGTTAGTTGTTTTGGACTTTGCATGCTGCTGGTTTGTCCAAGAATGCACTTTATTTGGAACAAATTTTCACACATCCAGATTTCACCACAACTGGATAAAAATCGGTTGCGGTCTGAGTCGGCAACCAAAAGGTCTGAGTCGGCAACTATGAGTCGGCAACCAAAAAAGGGCTGAGTCGGCAACCAAAACGAGTCTGAGTCGACAACCAAAAGCGCTGATTCGGCAACTTTGAGTCGGCAACTAAGAAAGCGCTGAGTCGGCAACCAAAAAAGCGCCATTTCGGCAACCAAAAACCGAAGTCCTCTAAAATAGAGGCAGTAGCTCCGTTTGAAGGCTCCAGTCTCTGAGTCGGCAACTAAGAAAGCGCTGAGTCGGCAACCAAAAAAGCGCCATTTCGGCAACCAAAAACCGAAGTCCTCTAAAACCGAAACCCCCCCAACCAACACCCAGCGTATGAACACCTAAGTCACGTCAATGAAGATGTTCCATGAGGAACGCACTAGCAAGAACGTTATCACACCCCCCCCGAAACCCCCCCAACCAACACCCAGCGTATGAACACCTACGTCACGTCAATGAAGATGTTCCATGAGGAACGCACTAGCAAGAACGTTATCACACACACCCCCCACCCACCCCACCCACCCCCCCCCGGAAACCCCCCCAACCAACACCCAGCGTATGAACAGCTAGGTCACGTCAATGAAGATGTTTTCATGAGGAACGCATAGCAAGAACGTTATCACACCCCCACCCCCCCCCCCACGAACCCCCCCAACCACAACCATGAGTATTAACACCTATGTCACGTCAATGAAGATGTTCCATGACGAACGCACTAGCAAGAACGTTATCACACCCCCCCCACCCCCTGAGGTAGCTATCCCTCTATTAGGGGAGCCCTGGATTACCTGTACAACACCTGAGGCAAGCGTAAGCTGCTGCACTCCTTTTACTACGCGCGGAATTGCTGCTAATCTTGAGCCATGCGGAGTGCGCATGAAAGATATGAATTAGGAATACATGTCAACATGCATGACAGCATTGTTTAGACACGTAAACAAAAAGAAATCACAAACAGACACAAATTTTCGTGTCGGAACATGCAAATCTGTTTCACAGGTAGCGCTCAGCCTGTGATCTGCTGTGAGACGGTCCGAAGACAAAAACAAAACTGTACAAGAAGCTACTCTCCGCTGTTGGCAAGCGGTTGTTCTCGGCTGTTGGCAAGCGACCGCAAATGCGGAACATTGCAATTTTTTGGGGCTACAAGCCCATAGTGAAATAGTAACCGTAGAAACTCAATTCGTTCCTCCTTCTGAGCTCACCGGTCTGATGAAAGAAAATGGACTGGTCTGGTGTTTGCGGAATTAGGTCAAGCCACGATCCGTCGTATTTTTGAATCCAACGCTGTCTTGGTACTTGGTACCCTGGGACGTATTCTACATTAGAGGTATGAGGATTCACTCTATAGTATGACGGCTGATCATAGGTGTAACCGTAATTACGGTACCCGGAAGAGCTGGAAGCTGTTCCTTGGTCAAGCCATTGCGAACCCGTCATGCGGGATGGAGGCGCAGGAGGCTCAGGTACGTTGATTGGCCTTTTTCTGGTTGTTTGCCTCTGGTCGGCCTGCTGCGATCTCTCTCTCCACGGCGGTGGAGTCTTCGGTGGACCTGGCGGATCGGGTGGCGTTCTTGGCTGTTGTGAACCTGATGTTCGTCCGGGCGGCGGAAGTGGAGGAGCCTTTACAGGCGGCCTGGCACTTGATGAGGATCCCGACGACTTCGGTGCTGATGATTGTTTGAGAGACACCGGAGCTGCCTTATAGCGAACTGGCTTAGCAGTTTCAGTTGGACCCTGTGGCGGTGTTGCAGGTGCTCTTGCAGGTGCAGGAGGTGGCCTTGAAGTTTCTGCCCTTGAACGATAACTCCTGTTCCTGCTGACTGATCGTGATCGAGTCTGTCCGACATTCCGGTGTGAGTCAGTCCGCAAAGGCTGAACACTGTCTCTCCTTTCTTCTCGTTTGTCGAGATATCCTTGTGTTTTCTGCATCCATTTTTCACGTCTTTTATCTTCAGATTCCTTGGATCGGATGCGCATATTTTTCAATGATTTTAACTGGGCATATGTAAGTAGAGGTGAGTGCCATCCACAGTCCTTCTCAGCCAAACCAAGATCATATGCCAGCAAATGTTTTAACTGTTCAACATCATTCAGCATAACTTCATCGGAGAAAGCTGATCCTGCGAATCCATCCGCAGAAGCGGAATCTTCTTTGGCACGTGCTTCCGTGACAGCGATCTGCTTCGTAACAAAGAGAAATTAAAAGCATTGAATCACAATCAGCATCTTCTCCACGCATGCTTCGGATGTAATCAGCGGCAGTGGTCGATGAAACTACGTTATACGTAATACGATTGATCGGACTGCGGTGAAGGTTGATCTGCTGGAGAAAGCGTTCAAGGATGTCGATCATGATGCATGTCCGGAAATCGGAATGGTCATCAGACTTAAAACTTCGCTGTGCGAAAAGGTTGCCGTCGCCGGACAAAAAGTCACACTGGTGCTCGACACAGCTTGCGACAAATTGAAGCCATTTCTGGCACGTCTCTTGATAAGCACCACTCCATGCATATGAAGAAATATGAAAAACCGCTACACGGCATTCAGCTAACATGAGACGTCGTACGTCATGGGTGTCAGCACCAAGATTCACTTCACAGACTTCCACGCCGGAAACGGCAAGATCATCGTCTCCGTCGATCTCGCAGATCGAGTGATCAAGAAAATCAAGTGTTGATGCAAGTGGGCGATCATGCTGATAAACCGCAGATTCGGCATTTTTCTCGATGTCCGGTTTCGGAACACGAGCGCCAGAAGAAGGGTCAACAAATTCTCCTGACGTATTCATGCCATGGCAAAGGCGAAAAATGGCGCCATGCAAAATCCAGAAAGGCGAATCTTTATTGGCTGTTTCAATCTGGTGTTGACATAAAAGTTCAATAAATGAGCCTGCATCATGTGAGCCACGGAAAAAAATTGCAACGGACTGTGATTGAATTGCCGGGTGGACTACCATGCCGATCATTCCATACTCTTCGGCAAGTTCTCGATGGACGGCAATTCCTCCGTATTCGTCGGAAGCCTCACACAAGCACACAATATGGGCCGCATTACGGAACACTAAATGTGGCAAGGCACGATGATTAATATCCGTTCTGACCCATTTTGGAAATTTTGAACAACCTCCGATATACGGAATACGGTTGATGTGACCAAGGTTCAACGTCAAAATGCCAAGCTGATACGTGTCCTTCTGAAATTCATGGATGTTCTCCTTAGTGCGCTTGGCAACACCGAGGACTGCTCTTTTTCCAAGAAGGCACGATCTGAAGAGCTCCAATAAACGGAGAATCTCTCCTTCCTTAAGGTCACCACCGTCAGGGTACTTGAAGAAAGCCTCAGGTCGCCAGATCGGAAGTGGCGTCTGGTCCTGGGAATCAACAAAGTGCTCCTGGAGAGAGGGGATTCGACTTCCAAATGGCATTTCATAAATATATTCTGTGTAGTCGAAATCCTCAATACCATGCCGTGCAAAAGACTGCAGGTAGGTATTCCCCATGGATCGGCCTTCACGCAGATGCGTGATAAGTTCCGAGAATTTTTCCTGACGGTTTTGAGCATGCTCGCTTCGTGTGGCTCCGAAATA